CAGAGCTTCACTCCAGGGGGAGCATGAAAAATGCTGGGATCTGGTAGGTAGAAACCTCACCAAGTTTTACAAGGAGAAGTGGCCAATCCTGTAGCAAGGGCGGAATAATCCAAAAAATGAGGCCAGGATGTGACCTGAGCAGCTCAGGAGTGACCCTGAGGAGAAGGGCCTGGGCATGAAAAGGAATAACCTATGAGCCATAGGTGCCAGCTCACCATGAACTAGGACAGCTGCACAATGGGCTGCATGAGGGGGAGCATGGCCAGCCAGGCCAGGGAGTTATCATCTGCCTTGACTCAGCACTTGTGTGGCCACATCTGGACTGGTGTGTCTCCATGTGGGGGGTCCCCAGTCTGGAAGAATGTAGAGGAACTACAGAGGATCCAGACAAGGTGTCTCACAATGGGGTTTGGGACCCGTGTGGAGAAGCTGAGGGACCTGGGCTTCTTTAGCCTGGTGAAGTGCAGGATCAGGGCTCTAGAGCAGTAGCTTTCACCTCCATTAACTCTGCTTTTAGAGCTGATGGATCTTTCCTTGGTAGTGGGAAGAGAGGGAAACCTCCTCAAAATGCAGCTTGTAAGTTACAGACTGGAGATTATAAAAAAGAAATGTCACTCAGAGGGTATCCCTGTGGTGCAAGAGGTCACCCAGGGGAGTCTGCATCAGCCCATGGCTTTGTCTTTCAAGGAACAGCTAGCAATGGGTGGAGAGACATCAGGGAAGGTTTAGAAATGTCAGGGTGAGAGCCAGGTGGGAAAGCACGATGGGTGCCTACAGCCTGAAAGGTGCAGGTGCAGGACAGCCAGCAGTCGCAATGGCCAAGGGCTCTAGCAAGGCTGCAAGTTCCACCAGGACTGGAAGCCTTTGTCCCCTAGACTAGGGCAGTTCCATCTGCTACTGAGGCCTACCAGGAGAAACTGGATTTGGAGGCTCTGCTCTTAGTTTCCTCCTCAGCCCTTCTTGGTCAAACCAGGATGTGCTCTACAGTTTTCCTGCACTTGGCCTTGCTCACCTTCACACCCCACTGCCCCTAGAAAGAGCCCTGAGCCATGCAGGAGGGACAGGATCTGCCTTCCCAGGGCCTGCGGGTCAGGGCTTGGCCTTTCTGCTGCCTAACACCAACCAAGAATTTGACAGCGTTGCAGCCACTTGCACAGCGCCTTTGCCTCCCAGCAAGCATGGCCTCCAATGAGCTGCTCTAACGAGTCCCTGGGGAGGCTTTGTCAGTAATGGCCCTCACTGGGGCCCATTACTGCTTCAAGGTACTTTCAGTTTGGCTTCTGACTTGGACTTCCTCAGAGGTTTCTTCCATCTCCTCTCTCTGTATCTGAGCTTCATGGACTCAGCCCCATAGACACCATGCGCTCCAGAAAATACAAAAAGCCCCAGTGATCTCTGATCTGTCTATTCCTTTAATTGTCTTTAAGTCTTCAGGACTTGTGCAGCTCCTTGGAGAGGTTGTACAGTGTAGTTACAGAGGATGATTTCAAAGTGCACCTCATCAAAATGATCTTTGATTTTAAAGGGTCTATTTTATAACTTCTCCATTCAGAGAAGGGATAGCAGCATTCTGCAAGTGATAAGGATCCCTCAGGGGGTCTCCTTAGGAGGTCTGGAGAGGTAGGAGAAGCAGTCCCTGGAGGTCTGACACTCTAGGGACAACCTTCCTCCACACCTCCACAACCCCACCATTGCTCTCAACGGCCCCCTGGCACTTCCATCACTCTTCCTGACATCAGACTTCTCCACTGAAGCCTGCAGCTGCAGGTCACAGCTCCTTTGCACCATCTCCCCCTTGCTCTCCTTAGGGAACTGGATGCACACTGGCACTAAGGGAAGTTTTCCTATTGGCAAGCAGAGAAAAAGCCAAGCACGACCAAGTTTCATAAACAGAACTCACTCTGCAAGTACATGCTCAGTACGGGCTGCCTCTAATGAGGTTGCCTTTCGACAAGGGATAAGCGTAGGGGAAATATTTTAGGTAGGTGGATAAACAAAGACAGATGGAAACACAAAGAGTTGGCTGAGTAGACAACTAGACTAGTGAAAGACAGGCAAACTTGTAACTGCCTGACGTCAAAGCAGCAACTGGCTGTAAAAGAGGACAAAACTGGAGATGAATGGAAAGGGCCTTTCCCTTGACCATCTGCATGGGAAAAGATGACATTAGCAACAGTACTGGATTTGTGTGGGCAAGGTTTTGGTAGCGGGGGCTACAGGGCTGGCTTCTGTTAGAAGCTTCCCCTATGCCTGATGGTGCCAGCGCCAGGCAGCTCCAAGATGGAGCTGCTGCTGGCCATGTCCGAGACAGTCAGCAGTAATGGTAATGCCTCTGTGATAACACCTCATGTGGCATTTCTGTGATGTTCACCATGGAAATACCTTTCTGGGCTGGCAATTGCATTTAACTGGTCTGTCCTCCTCAAGACAGGCTCAGACTTGACTGGCTGAGGGGCAACCTCAAAGCAAAGGGCCTGGGCATTCCAAGGGATGCCATAGCAGCCAGTAGGGGTGCTAAACGTGAATGTATCTATGTGCATAGTGGGCTGCACTGGGAGGAGCGTGGCCACCCAGGCAAGGGGAGTTGTCACCCACCTTGACTCAGCACTGGTGTTGCCACATCTGGAATAGTGTGTCCCAGTGTGAGGGTCCTCAGTCTGGAGGAATGGTAAGAAACTGGAGATGATACAGAAAAAGTCTGTCAAGATGAGGTTGAGGGTTATGTGTGGGGAGGCTGAGAGACCTGGGGAGTGCAGTATACGGCATAGGCCATCATAGCTCGGAGTTGCTTTCAGAGGTGGTGGTACCTGGGAAAGAGCATGAGAAAGGAAAACCAGCGAAAACTGCAGTTTGGGAGGTCCAGACTGGGCATTAGGAAGAAAGAAATGTCACTTTCCTTTTGGAAAAAAGAAGTCACAAATCCCACGAAAGACTGAAAAAAAAGTGAAAAGTGCATGGGCACTTTTCTCTGCTTTGGATCTTTGTCCTCAATTCTTCTTACTTTCATTTTTACTGACATTAACTACATGTGACAGGCCCATGGGCATGAAAACAATATGATTTTGTGTCTTGCACAGAGCCCCATGTCCCAAAAACCTTTCCTGTGCAGGACTCCTCAGCCTTTGCACAGAGAGAGTCACACTGAGGAGCTGACCTCTCCTCACTCCTTTAGATGTTGGTTTTGATAGTCACCGACAGCACAGGATTCATGTCCCATGAACATCTGCTCTTCTCCAGTTAGAAACAGGGCCCAGCTCCACAGGATCATAAGAGAACAGAGGTTGAAGGGACATCACGAAGTCTGCAGCCCAACATGACAGAAGCAGGGGCAGACCAAAGTGTTCAAGGCTTGATTCAGACTGAGCTTGAACATCCCCAAGGACAGGATTGCACAACCTATCCATGTGATCCATTCCAGTAGTTGGCTGAGCACATGGGGAAGAAAGTTTTCCTTATGTACTGGTTCAACCTCTCCTCTTTCACCTTCCTCCAGTTGTCTTTTGTCCTCCCACTATGTGCCATGGTGAAGAGCCTGGCTCTGTATTCCCCATATACTCCTCACAGGTACTGGCAGGCTGGGATGAGGTGCCCCTCAGCCTTCCCTTCTTGAGGCTGGACAAGCCCAGCTCCCTCAGCCTCTCCCCACTGGCAAAGTGCTCCAGTCCCTGGCTGTCCTGAGGGCCCTTCGCTAAACCCACTGCAGCTTGCCAGTATCTCTCCTGAATTGGGGATGTGAAATCTGGATGGAGTATTCCAGAGAATCCTTTCCATCAATCATAGACTCATGGAATCATTTAGTTGGACCTTTAACATCATTGAACTCAAACATACCTGTCCACCACTAAACCTTGTCCCTAAGCACCTCGTCTACCTGTCCTTTAAATACCTCTACAGATGGGATCTCGACCACTTCCCTGGGTAACCTGTACCCATGCCTGATAACGCTTTCAGTGAAGAATTTTTTCTTAATATCGAATCTAAACCTCCCCTGATGTAACTTGATGCCACTTCCTAGTGCTTACTGCTGGGAGAAGAGACCAACACCAACCTCGCTACAAACTCCTTTCAGGTAGTTGCAGAGGGTGATGAGGTTACCCCTCAGCCTTTTTTGTCCAGGCTAAACAACCCCAGTTCCTTCAGCTGATCCTCGTAAGACTTGTGCCTCAGACCCCTCACCAGCTTCATTGCCTTTCCCTTGATCTCTTTTTTGTGTTTCTTCTTGTCCAGCCCAGGATGTTGGTGGCCTCCCTTGCTGACAGGGCACACGGCTGCCTCCTGTCCAACTCCCTGACCACCCAGACCTTTCCCACAGAGCTTCTCCCAGCCAGGCAGGCCCCAACCTGTGCCATTGCCAGGGTGAGTCCCCTGCAGGGGCAGAAACCGGCATTTGCCCTTCTGGAATGTCCCGATGTTCCTGCCATTACGTGCTCTCCTCCTCCTTGAACCGCTTCATTGAGCACAGAGGCTTGGGAGATTTTTTCAGTAGACTCAGGCAAAAAGATTGAGTCCCTCAGTCCCATTGGTATCTCCTGTTTATTAGAGCACCATCCTCGTTCAGCAGTAGCCCTGCATTTCCCTTTGTCTCTAACACAGAAATTGGAGGTCTCCTTTTTGCTCTTGATTTTTCTTGCAGTCACCAACTCCAGGTGGTCACCCCCTGGCAGATGCTTCGTGCCCCTGGCAGTGCCCTGTCCTGTGCTGGCCGAGCGCCACTGTCCCACACGCACGTTCCCATTGACCCACTGTGCAGGCACAGCATGGCAAAGAGTGTATTAGGTGTGAGGAACAGTTTCTCTTGCATGATCTCCATGACACCCCCTTGTGCCCTGTCCCTCTTCTGTTTCTCCTACTTCTGACAGCCTCCACCAGGTCCTGGAATGTACCCACCTCTGTCCACATCCCGTGTGGGGTTTTGAAGATATGCCTGCTCTGGGGTCTGCCAGGGTCTGGACAAGGAGAGATGTTGAGCAGGAGGGAAATGGCTGTGCAGAAAAACTCACCCATAAACCTGTGGAGAGAGGCAAGATCTGGAAGTAGCAGAATAGGGAGGCCACCAGTAAAAGCTTATTCCAGTCCCATTCCCTAACACATAGCCCCATGCTCTCTTCCTCACAGCCCATGCAAAACCCCAGCACAGAAGCATGGCCTCATGCGGGCAATTTGTTCAGCCTGTACCTGACCTCAGCTTTGGAAGAAGAGCACAAACTCGAGACAGTGGCACAAAGGAAACCCCCTTTTATAAGAGAGGGAGATGTTACAGGGGAGGCCATCTGTGCCATCGGGCCAGACACATGTGCAAAGACTCCCAGGTGAGACAGACTGAGTTCATGCCTGTGGAGAAGTGAAGTGCATGCAGACATTCCTGGGGAAACAGAACTATCACAGGTAAAATGCCCAAAGCACAGGAGGATCCCCAGATAAATTGGAAATCACTTGTGAGGAAGCATGGCCAGCTTATTCTGGCTAAAATACTAAAGATGGAATCAGCTTCTTAAGTGCATCTTTGAGCTCCTGGTTCCTCATGCTGTAGATGAGGGGGTTCACTGCTGGAGGCACCACTGAGTACATAACTGCCACCACCACATCCAGGGGTGTGGAGGAGATGGAAGGGGGCTTCAGGTAGGCAATCATGACAGTGCTGATAAACAGGGAAACCACAGCCAGGTGAGGGAGGCATGTGGAAAAGGCTTTGTGCTGACCCTGCTGTGTGGGGATCCTCATCACGACCTTGAAGATCTGCACATAGGACAGCACAATGAAAACAAAACAGCCAAATTCCACAAAGATACTGACCACAATAAGCCCAACTTCCCTGAGGTAGGCATGTGAGCAGGAGAGCCTGAGGATCTGGGGGATTTCACAGAAGAACTGGTCCACAGTATTGCCTTGGCAGAGGGGGAGTGAAAATGTATTAGCAGTGTGCAGGAGAACAGTGAAAAATGCACAGCCCCAGGCAGCTGCTGCCATGTGGACACAAGCTCTGCTGCCCAGCAGGGTCCCATAGTGCAGGGGTTTGCAGATGGCAATGTAGCGGTCATAGGCCATGAGAGTGAGAAGAAAATACTCTGCTAGTGCCAAGAAGGCAAAGAGAAAGAGCTGGGCAGCACATCCAGAATAGGAGATGGCCCTGGTGTCCCAGAGGGAATTGGTCATGGATTTGGGAACAGTGGTGGAGATGGATCCCAGGTCAAGGAGGGAGAGGTTGAGGAGGAAGAAGTACATGGGGGTGTGGAGGCGGTGGTCACAGGCTATGGCGGGGATGATGAGGCTGTTTCCCAAGAGGGCAGCCAGGTAGATGCCCAGGAAGAGCCAGAAGTGCAAGAGCTGCAGCTCCCGTGTGTCTGCGAATGCCAATAGAAGGAACTCGAAGATGAAGGTACCGTTGGACATTCTGTTCCTCTGGGTATGGGGCACTATTAAAGGTGGAAAAGACAGCGACAAATTATGGGAGGTTTCTCTGAGAAAAGTCGAAGCCATTTTGCATACACCTCCCCCTGCTGCACACACCATCTTTCCTTTTTCTACACGACCTTCCTAAGCTCCAGGCCTGGATCCTCGTCATTGCTGGCCGAGTGTCCCAGGAGGTCAGCCCTGCTTTGCAGCAGGGAGCTCATGGAAAGGCCGTGAGTAGGACCCAGTGCTGGTCTTTACATTGTCAGATGAAACCTGTCCTAATGTAGAAGGGCTGGTCAGCACTTGTACCGCCAGTGTTAACAACACAGGAGGGTGGAGGGATATTTGAGAGGTTTATTTGTTTTACTGCTCCCTCCATCTCACCTGGAGAGTGTTGTTGAATGTCAGAAACCCTCAGCATTTCTGTTGTGCTCAGGGAGAACAGAGCGAGTCCTGCGGGGAAAAAAAAAAAAAAACATGGGAAAGGTGTACTACGGAACAGGAGTGCATCCTGGAGGGAAGCTCACAGCTCTGGAGGACACCTCAGGGAGGTATCCAATTCACCTTCTGATGGTATTTCAGTAAGAGTCAGCTCACAACCCAGACCTGCAAACTGCATTGACCAGACCCCACATGTGCTACAAAATCAGGGACACTTGTTCCAAGGACATACCTGCATGGCGGGAATCCCAATATCAGTGTGTGACTCTGCAGATGAAACACAACCTCCCCAGAGAGCCTGGCAGCA